TTATTATTATAAATAACTCATTTCCCAGCTGCATACATATTCTACGGAGAAAATGACACATTGCCTGACTATCACTACAAGAAGCCAAATGAGAGTAGTGTCAAATGCTGGCCTCAAAACCTGTTTCCCTGGATTTTAGGTTTTGTTTAGAATGTAAAACTAGGACCAAAGTAGGGTAAAAGCTCACTCTGTTTAGTAGTGGCCGCCAAACCACCTAATAATACATGCATTCTTCCAGAAGATGTGATAGTAACTGACATTGATATGGCATTTTAACATCTACAAAGGACTTGATATACATTAACTCACTGAAGCCTTGTAATACCCTTCTGAGATGGGTACTACTGGTATTATCATCTCCATCTTAGAGATGAGGAAACTGAGGCTTAGAGTAATAAAATGACCAGCTCACGGCCACACAACTAGTAAGTGTTGGAGGCAGAATTTAAACCCTGATCTTCCCGACTCCAGGTACATTCACTATGCAAGATGGACTCTCTAGGTTAGTAGGTAGTTTTCCTAATGGCCTAACCTGGACAAGACCTTACACAGACTGGTGGGATAAGAGGGAACAATAACTGTTAGCTGCTGACCATGTGCCCAGAGCCCTACTTCTTCATGACATCTTCTAAATTAGATATTATCAGACTTAGCCCTTATTTCTGACATCACAGTGCCCACTTCATCCAGGTAACCTATCATGGGCTGGCTACCTCTGAGTCTGAGACATTTTGGAAGATTACTCAGTTTGAAATGTCTACTTAATGAATTCCATATCTTTCATTGTTTTCTACTACCTAGCTTCAGTCAATCTATCCTCTGGCATTTATTAAACATCTACTATGGGCCAGGCATTACAAGTGCTAGGGATATGAAAAAAAAAATACCTGCTCTCAAGGAATCTCGGGCCCTTGGGGAAATCAGGAAAGATCAGATCAGTTTATGTATAAGTTGGTGCTTAAACAGCATTACGGAAGGAGGTGAACAATGTGTGCGAAACAGAGAGGCCATTTTGACTGGATTATAGAATGCAGAAAGGGGAATAATGCATTATGAGGCTGGGAAAGACAGGATAGAGCCAAATTGTGAAGGGCTTTAAAAGTCAAAACAAAGAAGTTTATATTTTTTCCCAGAGGCAACAGGGAGTCACTGGAGTTTAATGAGGAGGAGTGTGTCAGGGTCAGATCTGTGCTTAAAAAACCCACTTTGTCAAGTATATAGAAGAAGAATTGGAGTGGGGGGAAAGCTGAAGCAAAGAGACCAATTAGTAGCCAGTGTTGTCATTCAAAGGGAGAGAGGTGCTGAGGGCCTGAATTGAGGTGGTAACAGTAGAAATCACTCAATCAAATGATAAACATTTAATAAGCATCTACTTTCTGTGGAGTGAGGCAGCTAGGTGGCAGAGTAGAAAGAGTACCAGGCCTGGAGTCAGGAAGACTCATCTTCCTGAGTTCAAATCTGGCCTCAAACATTTACCAGCTGCATGACCCTGGGCAAGTCACTTAACCCTGTTTGCCTCAGTTTCCTCATCCATAAAATGAGCTGGAGAAGGAAATGGCAAACCACTCCAGTATCTTCGCCAAGAAAACCCCAAATGGGGTCAGGAAGAGTTGGACACAACTAAAAACGACTAAATAACAAAAATCTAGTTCTATTTTGAACTCTGGCTTCTCAATCCTTCTTGATTCCACCCGTGAACATAAAACCCACTGGAATTTTGCCGTATACCATTACAAGAATTTGGTATGTTGCTAAAAAACATTAAACCAATCCTATAGTAATTCTTTTACTCTGAGCCCACACCATATGAATGTGGAGAGTTGTGGTTTAACTGCTCTTCAGAATTTATTAAAACATGAAAATACATATGCACATAATGAGCACACAACACCAGCAGAGGCTTATGAAGATAATGACTTTTTAATTCAGTTCATGACAATACACACCTGTAGAGAAAAACAATGAATCATGACACCTTTACAGAAGTTCTACATGGACATTACCACTGAATACTAGCCAGCCAGGATACATTAGAAAATTTGAGTCACTGACATTACTGGAAAGAACAATGAATTCAGACCTGAGTTCAGATCCTATTTCAAAGGACTTTTGTGACTACAGTAGACAAGTCCTTCAACTTTTCTCAGCTTCAGTATCCTCATTTGTAAAATGGGAATAATAATGACAGGTTCCTCCCATGGTTGTCATGAGCAAAAAATGAGATAATATTATGTAAAGCACTTTGCAAACTTTAAAGTTCTGCATAAATGCTAGCTATAATTATTATTATCCTTAGTATATTTGGAAAGGACCTTAGAGCCCATCCAGTCCAACCCCCTCATTATACAGATGAAGATGTTGTTCAGTCATTTTTTCAGTTATGTCCAGTTCTTTCTAACCCCACTTAGGGTTTTCTTGGCAAAGATACTGGAGTGCCATTTGCCCTTTCCTTCTCCAGCTCATTTTACAGATGAGGAAACTGAAGCAAATGGGATTAAGAGACCTGCCCAGGGTCACACAGCTAGTGTCTGAGGACAGATTTGAATTTAGGAAGATGAGTCTTCCTGCCTCCAAGCTGGGAAGTCTGTCCACTGCACCATCTATCTGCCCCCACAGATGAAGAGACCAAGGCTCAAAGAGTTTAAGTCACTTACCCAAAGTCATACAGGCAGTTAAGTAGAAAAGGAAGAAAAGTTGCTATAGCCAGAATAAGTAAATAAATAGAAATTGACCCATTGGTGAACCATGTGATGAATACCCCTGAACTCAGGCTGGTCCTTGAACACCTGATACACAGTTCTCATCACCAGGCTTTCCTTAAATCTTTTACATCTTGGTGGGACCTTCCAGACCTTGCACTCTGCTGATACAGTTTTTGAAAATCCAGGTTCACCTTCATGCTTCATGCCATGAAGAGATATCAAAGAAGGTTTTAGTCAACTCACAACTTGATATATTACATACACTGCTACCTCTTCTTTGGTTTCTTTGAATTCCACTGTATTTTGTCCTTGGATGTTATTGCAAACCATCTTTATTAGGCACTTGGAAAAAGGATGCTTGGCTAAGGTGACTGTAAATACCATTAGCAAGTTTGCGGAACAAGTGAATGTAACCCTTCATATGCCAGAGGCATGTTTGAAAGGTATATTTCATTAGCAGGAAAAGAGAGGTTTATGATCTGAGCTGATGCCAAGTGCCAATTACACTAAATCTGGCCGAAGATTTTAATGGACAGAAGGAAAAAAAAAAACACTGTGAAACTATACAATCATTGTCATTTTGCTTCTATGTCTGTATGCATTTTAACAAGTTAACTCAACAAGTTAGGGAAAGACAAGCACTCTGAAGCTTTTCTAATAGCTATAATTCGTTAAGATGCCTGTCTGCCAGCTAACTTAAGGAGGTCCATAAAAAAGGGGGAAGTCATCTCAAATGACTTTCTACTGAAGTGTCACATTAGGTTTAGGTGTATTAGTGAAAAGCACTTTCTGGATAAGAGAGGGAGGAATGAGACAACAAGTAATGCGTACAATACCTGGGGACTTCATGCCCAAGATGGCAGGCAAGCCCATTGCCACTATCATCCCCCCCCCCCCCCCCCCCCCCCCCCCCCCCCCCCCCCCC